AAAAATATACTTCATATATATATAATCATATTGTTTGTTGGAGCTGTTCATCATAATTGCATGTTCTACAAGTACTTGAATAACATCATAATAGGTCGTTTAAAATCATAAGTGAAAAACCTCATGAACTTATTAATGATAGTTGTCAAAAATATACTTCATATATATATAATCATATTGTTTGTGGGAGCTGTTCATCATAATTTCATGTTCTACAAGTAGTTGAATAACATCATAATAGGATTAGATCAACTATCTATGTAATAGACATTAGAAAGAAAGAAAAAAAAATACTTGTCTACTATTATACCACTTTTCAAAAATATTTTTAATTCTCAGTTTTGTTAATATGTAAGGTGATTTTGTTTATCGTGAAATTTCCTCTCTTCCCTCTACACCTCCATCTCTTGTGTTCAAAACACAAACTTCTTTCGCTTCTGTTTTTGTGGTGAACAGTTCCAAAAAAGTGAGAGCAGAATCTGGAAAATACTATACCATGATAAAGAATAAGAATAAGACCGTGAAGAAGAAGAGTGGAGGACCAATGAAGAACAACAACAGAGAAATGAAGAAGAGAGTTGAAAAAAGGCAAAGGAGTGAAGCTTGGAAAGAGTTGGAACGAACAAAAAGTCTTACATTCACGATGAAGAAAGCCGGAACATTATCTCTTATTGCCCTAAATCAAGTTTTTGGGTCAAAAATAGCACTTTATCTTTTTATTTTAATAAACTAGAATTTAACCCGCGGTGTACCGCGGGGCTATATTTTTTTAAAAAAATGTAATGTTATTTTTTTTTTAAAATGTAATGTTATTTTTTTAAAGATTAACTGAAGTTATATCATATTAGTTTGTATTTTTAAATGTAGATATCTATCTATGTATTATTTAGTGTATGATTACTATTGTTTAGGTTTCAATTTTTGAAGTATAGATACGAAAACATACATATTTTTAAGTAATGATGTATGGTCAATTTTCAAATTTTGAATATTTTACTCCGCGGTATACCGTGGATCGATTTTTTTATAACAAAATTTTTTAAATTTTAAGTTGTATTTGTTTTGTTAATATTGTATCTTTTGTTTTGTGCTTAAGATTGTATAATTGTATTTTGATTGTTAATTTTATGATTTCATCCATGATATACCATTCTTTATTAATATCGACGCAAACCCATCATCTCATATAAACCCGTCTATATTATCCCGTTAGCTAAATTATTAGTGTTATAAAATACAAGAAAATAAATTATTATTGTTATAAAATCCAATAATTTTAGGATCTCACCCGTAGTATACCATTCCTTGAATGATTTTAAATTTATACTACTAATATATATTTTAAATTTATCATATAAATTATATGATTTTTCTATGTGAATATTTTGATTATTATAAATTAGTAGTTTTATTGTTATGCAAAATGTTAATATAAATATTTGCTATAAATCGGTTTTATGCATATTTTGTAGAGTAAATTCACGGAATTCTTTTTTGAAGATATATGAAAAGATTGTGTAGAGATTTTTAGAAAAAAATTAGGCAAGATATCGTTTGGTTAATATCTTTTATTTAAATTTTGTAAAACTAAATAATAAATGTCAATGACATGGACTCGTAAATAAGGTGGAACTCTAGGATTTATTTGCTAAAGATACTCCAAAAATGTAGGTATATAGGTATCTTTGTTTTTAATTATAGGTTTCACCCGTGGTATACCCCGTTTTGTATTCAGAATTATTTTGGTCCTTTTTATAGTATGACTCTAAACCATTGCCCAATTTTTTAAGCAATGTGGAACATTGTACACATACTTTTTCTTCATCGATTGAGTTATATATGTCTGTTTAAAAAAAATTTAATCACATTATATACAGAAAAAATTTATTATTTTATTAATTATATATATTTTATATAAATTCAAAATAAATTACTATAAGATCATATAAAAGTGAAAAAAGAATCATACATTAATGTTTAAATTAGGTAGAGATGTTTTAGAAAAATTTAGAAACAAAATCACTTTTATTAATTAATAGATAAACATTTATGATAATGGCATTCTTTGTAAATACTTAGCAACTCTAGGATTTATTTGCTAAGTGTACTCCAAAAATATATATATATATAGATAATTATAAATAAATACAAAAAATCATAAATACATTGTTAATCTTTTTCCGCCAATAAAATTTTAACAATGCGTATGCAGTTTCATCAATGATTTTTGTTTCATATTTTAGAGAAATTGCCTCTTATATCTCCAAATTAAGTTTTTGGGACATGAATAGCACTCAAAAGTTTATTGTACAAAAATAGCACCTTATTTTTGATGTTTTAAATTAATAAATAATTATAAATAAATACAAAAATCACAAATTTATCATTAATATTTTTTCGCCAAAACAAAATCCCGTCAAAATTTTCCCGCCATAATATTTTCTGCTCCCGGGAAAAAAAATATCATCAAAATTTTCACGCCAAAAAAATTTCTGTCCACAAAAAAAAATTCAAGAAATTCAACCAAACTAATTTTCGAACGAGTACAAGAACTTCACGTGGAAAACTAGCTCCTATCCGAACATGCGCTCCCTCTCAAACTTGTCAAAGAATATCCTTTTAGGATAAAAATGTTTGGCTATGCCAGACTGAATACTTTGATGTTGTCGCAAAGTTGTGTTCTCGATTATGAAGATCGGACATCGATTCTGGTTTACTCGAATGATATACCAGGCGTGAAAAATTTAAAGCTAAAAACGTCTGGTTTCGCCGTTCAGAGTTTCGGGTTAAATATAAGCCTTTTGACTGTTCATATGGTACATAGCGAGTACGTGAAATTGGAAGAGTGGAGTTATGGTACTCTACTAGAATCTCTTAAGCTAACCGCGGGAAAGCTAACTCAGAAGATAAGGTCTTCCTTTTAACTACGCGCAGGACATTACTCGTGGGACTCGTTGGACTCGTAGGACTTGTTGGTCTCGTAGGACTCGTTGGTCTCGTAGGACTCGTTGGTCTCATAGGACAACTTGGACTCATGGGTCCATATAACAATGTCTCCTTCCTCTTCGTGGAATGTGATAAGTATCTTTATCTTGCTTTGTTTACCAAGTTGGGCTAAAAGCCCAACTACTATCTCATTCTCTTGTTTATGTACTATTTTCGGGACTTTGTTTTCCGACTCTTTTATGTTTTCTAAGTAACTCCTTGGTTCTTCTACTTTTGTGTCTACACTTGTAAAAAAAAAACATCGTCAAATCCTTCCTAAATTACGAGAAATCTTTCCTAAATTTCAGGATCTTCATGAAATCCTTCCTGAATTAGGTGAAATCCTTCCTGAATTTCGTTGAATCCTTCCTGAATTTTATGTAATCTTTTAATGAATCCTTTCCTGAAATTCAAGGAATCCAATCTGAATTTCGTGAAATCCTTCCTGAATTTCATGGATTTTTTTTTGCCGGAAAATTTTGCCGGGTTTTTTTTTTTTGCAGAGAAATATTGAAAACAAAATTTTGACGGAAAACTTTTTGGCGGGAAATTTCTAATTTCATTTATTTATTTATTTATTTTATTATTTATATTTAATATTTAATTAAAGTTTATATTGCTATTTGTGAAACTTTTCAAATGTAGTGCTATTTTTGGAAGAAAAACTTATTTTAGTGCTAGTTTTGTCAATCTCCCCATATTTTATCTAATTTCCTTATGCATATTTATTATATCTATTTTCTTTCCATCTAAGTATGTAAATTTTAGTGATTTAACTCATTCTGTATTCTAATAAAAAACTATGAATATGAAAAATATTGGTCAACTCTAGAAGTTCTATCTAATATAAAAATTAAAAAAGATTCAATATTAATCAATGAGGTAGTTAATTTTGATTAAATGTTTAAAATTATATGTGTGAATAGTTAGATGTGAGTAAACTTATAATATATAACATTATAAATTTTAGTGAAAACTAATGTAGAATATTTTATGTATTTAGTTTAAAATAATCTATATACCTCTTGCTTCTATATATTGTCATTTTTTCTCCTTTCTAGAAATATGGTTTTATATAAAATTCATAAATTATATATATATATATATATACCTCTTGTTCAAATCTAGAAAAACATAGTTTTGCAATCTCGTCAAAATATGATTCCACAACTTGTTAAGAAAATGTTTTACATGCAAAAGGTCAAACTGTCATCTTATTTAAAGTCATTTACAAATCTATTATCTACTTTACTATTAAAAACATGTTTTTACACCAAATCATATTTTACTGTTATACTATGCTCTTTACCACCATCTACAAAATCTTTCTATAAACACATTAAGCCAACTATATGTCTTTTTTTTTTTTTTTGCATCCAAGTATATATCTCTTCACTTTCACATTTGTATAGTTTCTTTACCACTAAAATTGTTGACTCATAAAAAACTTGAATGTGTTATAAACTGTGTAATCTTATTAACACATAAGAGAGTATATATATGAGTTTACACGGATGATGGTATAAACTGTGTAATATATACTTATAGATGGTAACTAGTACTTGAAGACCCGATCCAAGTATTTATAAGGTTTTATAAGCTGTTTTTAAAGGTTTTACAAGATATTTTAAAAGTTTTTTAAAGTATTTCAAAGGTTTTACAAGATATTTTAAAGGTTCTTAAGGTATTTTTAAATGTATTTATACAATATTTATAAAGTATTTATAAGATTTTAGATACATAGAAAGATAGTTTGTGTATGTTTTAATAATGTTACATACATATTTGGGTAAATCTTATATTTTTAGAAGCATTTTTTATAAGGTTTTAAAGAAAGGGTATTTTTGAAAAGTGGCATTGAAAAATGAGCATTTTTGCAAAAGCCCCAAAAATGTTATGCATTGATGATCAAGTATTTTATGTATTGATGATCAAGTTTACCAATAATCGGATTTAAATGGTATATCGGTTTGAGATAAACCAAATGGAAGAGGCTGGATTTAAATGGTATACTGATACTTCTAATCTCTAGTTTCTTCTGATGTTTTGTATAACTTACACACACACAAAAATGCTCATACACATCCAAACATCATACTTTTTATAAATATCAAACATAAATTAAAGTCTAAGCATCAAACGGTTCACAAACACGCGAATAGAAACCAAATTTACATTTTTACCAATTCTTGCAATGGCTATGGCTACCATCAATCGTAGCCATAGTGAACAAATGTGGCGTAAGATCCTGAAATATAGAGAATTAGCAAAGAGCTTTCATCTTGTGGAAGTGAGAACTGGGAATGATACTTCCTTTTGGTATGATGTATGGAGTCCTCTGGGCAAATTTTTTTGACCATTTGGGTTCACGAGGATGCATTGGTTTGGGGATTTCATCTTATAGTATTGTTGCTAAAGCTATCGCGAATAGACGCCATAGACATCGAGTAGTAGTGCTGAATCAGATCGAGGATCTGCTTGACTCTCTTCGGCTTTAAGCTCCTCAAATTGAACCGGACCGGCCCCTTTCGAGAAGGAAAAACGACTCATTCAAAAGTAAGTTCTCCTCTCATGAAACTGGCAACTTACTCGACAAGGAAATCCAATTTGTGACTGGTACAAGGGCGTATTATATTCCCTCATTCCACGCCTCAGTATTCCTTCATAACTTGGAATGCTATTCGGAATCGTGTTGCTACAGGGATAGATTTATAAGATGGAATGTTGGAGCAAATGGAAGTTGTGTTTTTTTGTGGAAAAGGAATAGAGACTAGAGATCATCTTTTCTTCTCATGCCCCTACTCCTCTCATATTTCGTCAGCGTTAGCCCAGGGCATTCCTGGTCACAAGTTCTCGACGAGTTGGGGATGGCTTGTCCCATTTTCCCATTACTCACGGAATTAGAGCACGACTTTAATGATTTAGAAGAAATATGTAATCAATATAGGGGACCTAATAATATACTCAAAACTCACAAGCCACAAGCGAGAAGTCACTAGTCACAATGTTCGATCAGGAAATTTTTTATTTATAAATTTCCATTATTATTTAAGAAAATCGTACATGTTTGAAAGAAAGTTTTTAGATCTCACCTGGACATTTTCTTAAAACCAAAAGTTAATTATCTAAAACATATATAGAAAACATAATACATATATATACCAAAGCTCTTACATTTTCGAGATTGTTTTAGGACTTTTACTACAAGACCAACACCACGTTATTATTCACAAATATTCTAAGAAATGGTAGGTACGAAAAATATATAGAAAACATGAGACATATATATACTCTTTATGATCTGCAATATGCATTACTTCAATTTGGCCTCCTCAACAGGGTGACGAAGTGTTCCGAAACACCAATCCATGAGAATCGTGTAATTTCCATAGTTATAACGATGCATGATGTGATGCATTGTATGATAATCAGAGGTCAAGAACGGCCACATCTTCGTTTCGAGACAACCGTGAAGGTAAAATGTCCAAATCCCATTGAGGGAAATCAGGACTATTTCGGTCGTAAAGTGCATTGGCACAAAGAAGAGAAAGATCGTGTAAGATAAGGCGTTTAGTACTGCCTCAACGGGATGACCTGCCACTCCTACAAATTTTTTTTTTTCATTAGTTACATCGTCATTATTTCATGCGGGTATGTAAAAATTGACACAAGCGAAAAATAAAAAATTAATAACTACAAGAAAACATCGTCTATTCCGACTATTGTATTAGTTGAAAATTCGTCATATGGAAATTTGTCATAAACAAGGTATTTCGACGAATTTCCAAATAACTGTAATAGCCAAAAACGTTGGTTGGAAAACAGGCAGAAAATATCGACGAAATTCTGACGACTTTTCTACTTTTGTTAAAAATCAAAACAAAATTGCGAGAATTAAGTTTGAGATTTGAAATTGGAGTAAAGATTTGAGTTTAATAGTAGAGATTTCAGATTGGAGTATTATTATTGTGTTTGAGATTGGAGTAGATATTTGAGTTTGAGATTAGAGTAGAGATTTAATCATATTTGTGTTTGAGATTGGAGTAGAATTTGAGTTTGAGTTTTTGAATTTTCTATATTTTGTGTTTGAATTTTTGTGTTTGAGATTGGAGTAGAATTTGAGTTTGAGTTTTGAATTTTCTATATATTGTGTTTTGAGTTTATGTGTTTAAGATTAGAGATTAGAGATTGAGTTTTAGTATTGTGAATTGTGAAATGGGTGAAAAATTAATGTGTATATATAGGATATATTTTCGATAAAATCTTCATTGGAAATTCGTCGGAAACTGTAAAAGAGTTGTAAAGTTCCAAATTTCCGACCAATTATTTTTTATTAAAAAAATAAACTAACTTATAAAGTGGTTCAAACTCGTCAAAAATTTCCGACCAATTTCTTACATTTTTATTTAATACTTTTTATATTTTCGACGAATTTCTGAAGTTCTTTCTAATTTTTAGGTTTTAAAATGATGAAAGTTGTCGGAATTTCGTAGGTTAATAATTTTCAATTAAAATTTTGACAGAAATATATCAAAAATTTCCGATAAATTCTCGACGACTCTCTCTATTTTTTCACTTTTTTAACAGACATAAAAGTAGTTGAAATTTGGAACCAATTTCCCACTACTTATTTTTTTTAATATAATTTCCGATCATTTTTATATATTTTTATATTCGTAGAAAAATCTTCAGAATTTTCAAAATTTTGATGAAAGTTTTCGAGTAATTTGACTTACGCTATTTGGTCAAAAATCTTGAAATTTTCCGACTAAGTTTTTATTAATTTCTATTGCCGGAAATATTGTCATATTAAAAATGGTCGTATTTTGGTAGGCGAGATTCATTATAAAAAATATTGATATCAAATAAATTTATTTATTTTTATAAATGCTGTAATAAATATAAATTTAATGATATTGGAATTTATGCATTTTTGTATTGTTATTTAGTGGCATACATGTAAATCTACATACGATTGCATATGAAAAGTTTACTTACTGTTTATTTATCATTTTAAAAATCAAGAATTCTTTAACTTTTCCAATGATGTACATGGAATTTGACTTCCACGATCAGTTCATATAAGTTTCGAAACTAATACTAGTAAGGGGAGAAAGTACCTGCAAAAGGTGATAGAGAGGTCTTGGTGTTGAAGCGATGATGAACGAAATGAAAATGCTTGTAGAAAGGCTTCACGTCATGGTAAGCTCTATGTATCCAATATATCCATAACTCCACCAATATCAGGTGAACAATGATATGAGTGATGTAAGCGATTAGACCAACTTCGGTTATTGAAAAATAACACTTTGTATAACCTTTTTCTATAAAATATTCAGAGATTGTTGGAACTATTGTAACACATGGCATCGATTGCATCGCTAGTTTTATTTGCTGTATTATTGATCTTCTCGAGGGGATATCTTCTGCAGTATGGTTAGGTCAATCATTAGTAATTGAAATTGTACGTTTTGACTTTTGAGATAATGATTTTGTATTAATTTTTGGTTTTAAACACTACTAACATGTTCGCACCAAAAAAAAAAAAACATGTTATCGTATCTTAAAGCATCTTTCTTGGTGATAACTCTTATGGCATCTCCATCTATAGAGATGAGAGACATTTTCGACCAACAAAATATAGTAGAAATTATTAAAAATATCAGAGAGAAGAGATATGTTTCTCACAGAACAATGGTATATTATAGTTAGGAAAATCTCAAAAAAAAAAAAACTCTCAAAATAACACCAATTTCTACAGTAAATTATAAAGATTTCAGACTTTCACTTTTACAAAAACTTAATTATTTATTTAACTTATATCAAAATAATATATTTTTTGCAAATATTCTTATAAAGTATTTTATTAAAACAGTATTAATATTTTATTATAATTTAATCATAAAGAGTTTTAGAGCTTTAGCTATAATTTTTTTTCTTCTTTATCTCTTAAAAATTCTAGAGTGTCGTTTAAAAGAATTTTTTTATTTTTTTTATTTTTTTGGTTCCAAAGTTAAAACACTAAAAAACCAACATAAAATAGGGAAAATTTTCAAAAATGCCACTTTTCAAAAATGTTCCATCTAAATTTTTTTATAAAAAATGCTCTTAAAAGTTTGAGATTCGTGTGTAACATTATTAAAGCATACACAAACTACCTTTATGTGTATAAAATCTTATAAAAAAAATTATAAATACCTTTAGAAAACCTTTAAAAACTCTTGTAAAACCTTAAAAATACTTTATAAAACCTTAAAAATATCTTGTAAAACCTTTAAAAACACCATATAAAACCTTATAAATACTTGGATCGAGTCTCCAAGTAGTAGTTACCATCAAGAAGTACCCTATAAACTTTATAAAACTTCATACTTTTTCAGATTTAGAAAAAGAAATTTTTGAAAATAGATATCTAAAAAGAATATTTTTGGAAAAGGGAACACCAAAAAAGAGATTACTAACAATTTCTCCATAAAATACGACCATTCCTTTTGCCTCGGCTTTTCCTTTTTATAGTACAAATCTAAAAGTCATTTACTTTTTTTTTTTTCTTAAAAATAGGAAATTAATTATAACAACTTAGCACAAAATTTAAGAACAACTTAAGTACAAAAGTTTTGCAGAAAACCAAAAACTAAAACAATAAGTTCTACAAAACTTTCTAACACATTCAAACTAACTAAAATGTACCTTTAGGTAAATGAACATCATGTTTCCAATGGTAGAAGTAGAAACACCAAAGGGAACAAAGGAGGAAGTAAGTGGCGAGAGAAACAATGTAATTACGAACAAACGTCTGAACTACATGTGGCAATCGTGGCCATAACGCTGTTGGGAAGAAGTTGTTGACTAGACTGTTGTTGTACGACGTTGTTTCTTCCACCAAACGCTGCAAATAGTGCTCCCACATTATTCCTACTCTGTTATCTTGAAAATGATATTGTTTATGTACATGTGTGTACATATATATCTATATATATATAGAAAGAAGTTGACAAAACCAAAGTTTGTCGAAGTCCAAAGTGTGTCGAAGTCTAAAGTTTGTCGAAGTCCAAACTCCAAAGTTTGTCGAAGTCTAAAGTTTGTCGAAGTCCAAAGTTTGTCGAAGTCCAAAGTTTGTCAAAGTCTATCAACAAAATATCATAAAAATTTATTTTAAAAAGAAAGAGAGAGAGAGAGAGGAGAAACGTTTCTTGCAGAACAATGGTATATTATAATTGGGAAAATCTCAAAAAAAAACTTCTCTAAATAACACTAAATTTGTTTTTTTTTTTATATATGAAATATGTAATTGATTGTTCATTTGAAAATATATACATCAAGGGCAATGAAGTGCCCAAATCGGACTAAAACAAGAAGAATAAAAAATGGGTAAAAATCACCAATTTCCACTTTTAAACTTTAAAGATTTCAGACTTACACTTTTACAAAAATTAATTATATATTTAACTTATATCAAAATAATATAATTATTTGCGAGAGACGTCTTCAAAAGATGGATATCTTATCTTATTATATAAAGCTTCACGTCTAAAAGTTGCTAAATCACAAGATCACAATATGTGTCTAGTATTTTAATGAGATTTCGACACGTGTAAAAATATTATTAATTCTTTAAAAATTGAATAATTTTATTTTCTTAATAGAATATGCTTGAAAAAAATTTGGAATATACACTTATAAAATTAAAAACGAAATTATTTAATTCTCTTTATATTAATTCAAACAATTAATTTTTTTAAAAAAACTGTAAATCCTAAAAGAAGAAAAAAATAAATTTTACATCAAAAAGCTAAATTTTTACCAATTAGATCTCAACAAGTTTAATATATTACTAATTTTAAAAGACAGAAAGAATGATTTCCTTTCTAAATAGTATACTTCAAAAAATACATTGTAATATAGTATTTTCTATACATTGTATTTGATAATATAGTATCTGATAATATACTTCAAAAAAAAATTATTAGAAATATACTTCTCTAATAAAAAAATAATTTTAATTTATATTCTAATGTAACCAACTCATATGATCGCGACAGAATATACTTCAAAATTTTTTTTTACTAATCTTAAAAATTTGGAATTGTTATAAACTGTGTATTCTTATTAACACACTAGATATTAACCCGCGGTACACCGCGGGATGATTTAATTTTAAAGTTAGTATAAAAATATTTTGTAAATTGTATCTCCTTATAACATATTTATTTATATTATAGTTTACAATTGTTATTAAGTAACGGTATACCACGAGTCCACGAGATAATTATTAATAAACTGAGGATTTAACCCGTATTAAAGCGGTATATAAATATTGATTCAAATTCGTCCGCCATATAAATCATTTCCGAAATATAACCCGTTCCGTAATTTCTTAACCCGTCCTGTGATTTGTATTAAAAAAAATAAGGATTAAATCCGTATTGAAGCGGTGGATTAATGATATTTTAATCTTTTTATTATTGTTGATTCAAAAACCCGTCCCGCCAAACCCATCCCGCCAAAAAACTCATTTATTTTATTAATGTTCTTATTTATGATATGATTCTGAATCATTGTCTAAATATTTTAATCGATGTAGAACGTTGAACACATATTTTCGTCAATTGGATAATATATGTCCGTTTTTAAAATTTCGAATCACAGTATATGCTGAAAAAAAATTGATTTTTTTTTTACTTTATGTATTATATGATGATTCAAAACAGTTAAAAACAAATCAAACAAAGATGATAGGAGAATCATAATTATAAATCTTAATCAAATCTTCTAAAAATCTAAATTATTAAATATGGAATATCCGGTGTATGAGTTGGGTTAAATATAACCCGACCCAACAAATTTTTTGTGAAGGAATTTTTAAAATGGGTCGGATATCCGATATACCCGAAAGCTTTTTTACCCACCCGTCACAAAAAGTGCTGCGATTATAGTAATATAGATAAGAGAGTATATATATGAGTTTACACGGAAATACATAGAAGGAGATAAAATCTAATGGGTCTTGGGCCAGTTATGGAGTCCATCCATATGATTTATAACACTCCCCCTTGGATGATATAACCGTGTAGATGTTCAGAGATCTTCGTAATGTGCTTGGGAATGCTGCCTCATTAAAACCTTACCAGGAAAACCCAGTGGGACAAAACCGTGGTGAAGGAAAAAGAGTACTGCACACATTACTCCCCCTGATTTGTACATCACTGAAGCTCCTTAAGTCTTCGCATCCCAATCTGATGTATGATTTTCTTAAGTGTTGATGTTGGCAAAGACTTGGTGAATAGATCGGCTGAGTTATTACAGGACCGGACCTGTTGAACTTGTACTTCACCGGCTTTCTGTAACTCGTGTGTGAAGAAGAACTTTGACAAAATGTGCTTCGTCCGGTCTCTCTTAATGTAGCCATCCTTGAGTTGAGCAATACAGGTTGCGTTGCCTTCAAATATGATGGACTTTAATGTAGTAGTAGTTGCGCCTTAAGGAAGGCTGCCTATGTACCCGTGGAAGGGATCAAGCCACACGTAGTTCCTATTCATTGACCATGCCATAATATGATCTTATGAATAACCTGCATCAGGAAATCAAACTAAACCAAAGCAAACTGGACCTTCTTTGGTTAGATCAGTATAGAATAAACCCAAGTAAACAACGCAGGAAGAATAAACTTTAAAATTTAATCAAACCTTCCTTTAAACCTTTCCAGTGCCTTTGGGTTGATCATGAACTAAATTTAGACAGGAGACTCACGGCAAAACAAATGTTTGGTCTAGTGTGTCTAGCCAAATTCATTAGAACTCCTATGGCACTGAGGTATAGCATTTCCGGACTGAATGGATCACTATCGGATCTGAGGCTTCTCACCACCATTGGGCCTGGTCAATGGGTGGGCCTGATCCTTATTAAATCTCCTTGAGTACTCTTTCAGTGTATGCCATTTGATGCACAAGGATTCCATTATTCACGTACTCAGGTTATAATCCCAAACAGAACTTAACTATTGCCTAGGTCTTTCATTTCAGATTCTTTCTTTAGATATACTCAACTGTTAGGTCGATTACCCAGAGGTTTAAATCATTCATATACACTGCTATGATTACAAATCCTTTGTTTGCAAACCTCTTTATGAAAATACATGGACTGATGGGATCATTTATAACCTTCCATACGCCCACTTAGTCTAAGTCCATGAAAGGATTTGTCCAGCCTTATGCAGTGCTGTTCTCGAGAATCTTTCTTATCTTTGAGCTCAATACCCTCTGGTAATCTCATATATTATCCAGTGAACTTATATAAATATGCAGGCATTACATCCATTAGCCGCAAATCAAGTCTTTCTCTTTCATATAGCCAGACTTAGCAAAAATTTAAATATCTTAGCATCCACCACAGGGGAGTATATCTCCTCTATTTCTGGTCTTTGTGTGAATCCTTGTGCGACAAGCCGTGTCTGATATATCACGCTTTCACTATGTTTATTTCACACAATCACAAAGACTCATTTGTCCCACTGGCTTTACATTGAATGGTGTCCTTCGTATTGGACCAAACACATTCCTCTTCTTAATGATTCTTAGCTCCACGTTTTATGGTCTTGTACCATTTTAATCAATCAGGTCTTTTAGTGCACTCTAGTATAGACGTGGGCTCCTGATCCTCATTGATTTCAGTTGCTACCTTGTACGCAAATATTTTATAATTGATGTCGACATCTTTTCGGTTCCATTGTATTCTAGACATGATATAGTTTATAGAGATCTCTTTACACTTTAAGGACCTTGAGGTTTAGCGTCCCAAACCTCATTGATTGGTACCTTAGGGTTATGTCTATTAGCCGGTCATGTCTATGGTTTCTTGGACCTTCTCGGTTTCCCTTGCACCTTTCTTTGATTTCCGAGGGTTCTTGTCTTTGGAACCTTTTGGGTCTACCACGTTTCTTACGTGTTGTAGCCTCTGTAGCAACTTGATTGTGTTCCTTGTGAACATCAATACGTACTGGTGCATTACAAGCTGGTATGTACGATTTTGTTACTCTCTTTGGGTCATTATAGGAATCTTGGCAACTGTTTTAGCTAGCTTTTGCAGATATATAGTCTTTTGGATCTCTGATGGAGTCCGAGGATCTTGCCATGTGAAGGATGTTTGATTCCATGTAAGTTCTTTGACCAGCTTGTTAGTCTCTCCACCCAGTGTTGGAAAAACGGATTCATTGAGATGACAATCCTTGTATCTGGCCTTTGGCTCGAGATACTTAATAATGGTGGGAGAATCATTTTTAACGTATATTCCCATCCCCTTTTGAGGTCCCATCATTTGCTCTCTGTGGTGGTGCTATGGGTAAATAGGTGACACACCCAAATGTCTTTAGATGGGACATATCTGGCTCCTGACCTGTGAGTAGTTGGGATGGTGAATATCTATGTTCACTAGAATGGCCTGATGCGTATAAGCCTTTGTTGCATATAATATTGCGTGTCCCCAAGCAGCTACTGTGAGTTCAAGTATGGACATGTGCCACGGGGTATACTACTCTCCCCCTCATGGACATATTGTAGCCATAAAACGCTTGGGACATAATTTACCAGCACTATCTAAGCATATAGTCTTAAGTATGTGGGCTCACAGACTTATGGTCTAGGCCAGCAATCTAGCAAACACCAAGTTTCTAGTTGCTTTGACTGGTGATGGCCTTAGTATGAGTTTCCCTTGTGTACATGCTACACACGTGAGGTCCTTAAGGGGTGTGCCCTTTTGATTTTAATATCAGCTTTATGCATCATGTTAGAACCAGGCTGGCCAAGCCGGTCATGCCATTAGTGAATTTCTCAGTAAACCCTTTTGTTTACTGGATTAGCCTTTATCATATTGACCTTGGCATAGTAAAGGTGACGCGGGTATAGTGTCTAAGACCTTCTCATGGTCTTGGGTGCTCTTAGTAA